TACTGCTAGTTTATGGCAACTTAGGTGTCTAGAATCATTTTTAGAATGATAAAGGGGTAACGAGGATTTGTTGGTTTGTCACTTAAGCTAGGAATTGAGAAATGCATAAAACAGTAAATTACCAGGAGTTTAGAAAGAAAAGATCTAGATAGAGAGGTCTAGGGAAGTGAATCCACTCCTACCCTTTACACATGCTAAGTATATGATTGAATTAGGGAATTAATGTACATATGTGACCATGATACATAGCAACACATGATTACTATAATATCTTCAAGAAATTCAATTAATCACAAGGTAAGAATAACCTATCAAAGCTTCATATGCTTGAGTTACCTAGACTATGATGTAACCTTAGACATGCTCACTAAGCTAGAGAATATCAAACCCTCAATTAAATGGTAAAAGCACATGGAATCAAGATACAAGATTAACCCATCAAAAGAAAGTCTTAAGTTATGGATTAACAAATTTCTCAAAAACCATGCCATTAAAACCATTCCATAATCTTATTTCCATTGTCACTATGAAAATACTAGCCATACAATAATAAGAATAAATAATCTAAGACAAGAACATTTGATTCAACATGATCATTTATAAGTAAAAACATTCATTACAAATTGTAATATGCTCTAGATTATGGAACTTGGCCACACATACATTTTATTCCCCAAAACAAATCAAAAATTAAACATGCTTACAAGGAAGGGTTTCATCACCTCCCTAGATGGAGGTTTAGTTACCCATTAATGTTAGGAAGGAAGAGAATGAAGAAGAAAAAGACTCCATTGCTGCACCTTAACTCTAAGAACACAAAAACCTCTCCACTTTCTCTCTAACTTTTCCAAAAATGTCACCCCCCAAGAATGAGATGACCGTCCCCTCTTTATCCATTCAAAACCTACTTCCCATACCCACAATCCCGAGCTCCCCCTCTGCATGAAGCTAGACCACACAAAAGAAGGATAAGGGAACCAAAAAGCTGGAAATCAGGGGCAGTTGAATTACCTTTTGTAGTTTGGCGGGCGCCCGCAGGGGCTTGTGAACTCGAAGAGGGCACTGGCGTGTTTGGCAGACGCCCGCGATGGCTCCGCGGGCACCAGCGGGAGCTCTGCGGGGCCTCCGCGGGACCTTTGCGAGGCTTCGCAAAATGAGGCAGAAAGTTGAGGGGATCGGCGGGCGCCCGCAGAAGCTTGCCACTGCACTATAAATTAAGGCTTCTTGTAAGCCTTTCCGAGCCGGAGCGTTGACGCGGCTTCCACTATGAACACTAAGCCACGAACCTCACAAAAATGGCGACTGAAGAGGTTAGGTCCCGAAGATGACTCCCTGACACGGTGCACGTATTTCAACAGAAAGTTGTCAAAACTGCTTCTTTAATTACATTCGGGGAAGCTGGCCTGAAACAAGCTAAAAGTACACAAATGAAGCTAAACTGTACATTAAACTCCACTAATGGACTTAACTGATGCAAGTAAGGGCGCTTGAATATACAATATTCGGCGTTTATCACTCCTATTGGCCAACCTTCTTTGTCTTGATGAACCGCACCGCACAGGATTACCTCTCCGTTGACCAGACCCAATACAGGGTCCAGATGCTCACACGCACCAACCCTTTATGCGCCGCAAAGCACCCAATCACCGCCCCTTCATCAACTCTTCTTAGCCGCTGGATCATCTTGCACACCCTCTTATCATAGGTCGCAACGCACTGGATTGGAATCCCATAATATCTACGCCGATTCCAGAAGCCCCCATATGAATAGTATAATATATATATATATACACACTATTGTATAAATAAGAAGAATTTCTAAAATAATATTAGAAAATATAAATTAAATCAAACAAATTTCCATAAGAAAGAAAAAAACCCAGAACAACACAAAAGCTTTATTTATTATTTTGGGCATAAATGAACATATATAATTAAATTAAGATCTGTTTAACTCAATTAATCATCTTACACAAAGTTAAGGCAAACTTTAAAATTTTCAAAGACAAAGTTTAATTAACCTAACCTCACATACAGGATTTAAATTATCAGAACGATACATATAAAGATTTAATTCTATAATGTTGTAAAGAATAATCATGTTCATATAATCCGATTAATAAATTAATTTAATAAAAATAAAAGTGAAATAAAACTATAATTTTGATAATTAGGTGATAGGCTTATGAGTCCTAAGATGAGAATTAGAAAAGAACTTGCCTGTTTGTTCCAAATCCGACGTCCTATTTCTCTGATCCGTCCTCTTTTTTGTCAACCCTTCTTCTTCTCTCTCTAACCTTTTATTTTTCTAACATGGAAAACTTTTAACCCTAAAGTCTTATGCGTATATTTATGCACATTAAAAATCCAAATCCTTTTCTAAGTAGAACTACCAAATAAAAGAAACAATAATGATTAAATAATATATATACACATATAATATATATATATATATATGTATATTTCCTTCCAAACTAATCATTAACTAATTAAATCATATACACGTATATATATCAATAAATATATATATATATATATATATATATATATATATTTATAATTATCCAAAGATGATTATTTAAATAATTAAATAACCATGGGCCTTTATTAATTAACCCAAAAAGGCTTCCTTCAAGCCTAAGACCACATCATTTGGTCCAACTTCCCCTAAGCCTAAATCCAAATAACTTAAATAATTAAAATAATTAAATTAAACATATTAAATCCAAATAATTCACAATAAAGTTACACAAGCTTAAATACACACAAATCAAATAAGCAATTCACTCATGGCATTCTACAAACCAAACACCATATAAATTCGACAAATCTAAATATGAAATATAATTTAATTAAAACAAGACAATTAATCTTTGCACTTATTTAAATAAAAAAAAAATCATTTAAAAAAAATAAAATCAAATCAAAGCAATTTTATCACAATTAAATCAAACAAATTATTTAAAAATAGAATAATATTAATTAATTCTAATTAATAAATCCATAAAAATATCAGGGTATTACAAAATCCAATTCTGTTTAGATCAATTGGGTGAGATCTAACCTTATACAAACGATGATTTTTTTGGTATTTGAAGCCTACAAGCCAGTGCTCTTGGACCTCGAAGTAATTATTGAAGATTAGATATGCAATCAAATAAGACATTAGATTTGTTGTTGGGATGGAAAGTGCATTTCTCTTTGGAATGATTTGTCGCTATTCAAGTCAAATTGCTTAATCAACAGAAAATGGTTAAAATGGAATTAATATAAATTACTTAATCAACAAAAAATGATTAAAATGAAATTTAATATAAGGATCAGTCCGTGTTCTTTTGTGGGGAAAGGGTAGAAGATATAAACCATATATTTTTTGAGTTATCATTTACTTGCACAGTTGCATAGAATAAGGAGTTTCAATTCTACAAAATGTACTATTTAATGGCATTAATTCCAATGGAATAATCTCTTAAATTGGGGCATTTTGACTCTTAAGGGTAAGTCCTTCCTTTCATTACTGAATCATATATGATATGCTAGATAATGTCAGAAATTTAGACGTCACAAATTTATGGTTCGGCCAATTTTACCTACTGTGGAGGGAAAAATCTCCCCTCTAATAAGAATCAGCTATGTCATTGAAGTAAGTCAGAATCCCAACTTTTTTCTAAAAGCCCATCAAAGCCTAATCTTGGTAAAGCCCAAATAAAGTTGCCATTGACCCAAGGTTATTAACATTAACCTCTTGACCTGCTATAAATTTGTTTGGCCTATCCACATCCTAATCCAAGTCCAGTTTGAATTAATCAAGTCCTATTTACTTAAGAATTCTTCATATAAGGAAGTTCTGCATGGGAAATAGTCTTACATAGAAGGAATTACAGAAGGAAAGAACTTTGTAAGTAAAGAATCCTACCATAATTCCACCATCCTTTTGTATATAAATAGAGGCATGGACCTCCAATAAAGATCATTGAGCATTACAAGCTTTTCTCTGAATTATTCTTGTTAATTGTTCTTTTATTTTAAGTGAGTTGTATTTATTCTTTGAGCTTTTTGGTTAAACGAATTTTTGCACCTACACTTTGGCAGCGTCTGTGGGAAACGTATAGAAATATACCCCCACAAGTGATTTGAAATCTTTTATGCTGCTACGATCCGGGATGTCAATTAGAGGAGCTGCAGTCGCAGCCGATCAACAGATAGAACTAATGCAAAAGATGCGAGAAGAGTTCTTGCAGCAATTCGAGACCCTTCATCAAGCAAACGAGACCAGTACGGCTTAGATTGCGTTGCTTCAGCAAAGGAATGACACCTTCCAGATAGCTATGGCACAAATAACACTATAACCACCACCAGACAATGCAACGGGAGCTTTCCCCAACTATGATGTTCCTCCTGTTAACGAAGTTCAAGTTAACGAGGTTCGGTAGGAGCAGAGGATGAGAACTGAGGTAGTAGCTTCGGACAACCACCCTCATCGCGTACAAGACGAATAGGCTGAATCCAGCCGCAAACTCATAGTATGGACAAATGGCGTTCAAGATGATGTCCAAGAGGCCTTTGATGAAAAGAGGCTTCTGTGGATTCAAACACCCGCCGAGATAGCCAGGGAGCATAAAGCATCTCTGGTGAAGACACCATTCACTGATCAGATATACTATGTCGATAGACCTAAAAAATTCACTATGCCGGCCTTTACTCAGTTTGATGGCACATGAGATCCTTCGCGCCATCTCAATCACTACTCTCAAAAGATGGCTCTGGACAACCACAATGACGCATTCATGTGTAAAGTTTTCCTAACTAGTCTGACATGAGCTGCACTGGAATGGTTCAAGAATAGGCCACACAAGTCCATCCCGAACTACGAAACTCTGTGCGCTATATTCTCAACACAATATTGTCGAAATAAGAAGCAGAAGAAGACTATTGCTAGTCTTTTCACTATAACGTAGAAGAGAAGGGAAATGTTACAGGATTACCTGTCTAGATTTAACATGGAGGCTTCAGAGATAGCAGATTGTCACCCTGAGATTGCTATAGAAACATTCAAGATCGGTATGATCTAAGGGACTAAGGCCTAGTTTGGTGTGATGGAATGGGGGTGGAATGGAATGACCATTCCACTTTCTCATTCCCTTCTCTTGTTTGGTGTGCCACTTTAAAAGTGGAATGGCCATTCCCTTGGAATGCTCATTCCAACTTTTAAATGGAATGACCATTCCTCTTTTGGACTTGTAGAATGGCCATTCCATTCCCACTAAATTAAGATAATAAAATGCAAAGACCAAAAAAACCCATACGCATTCTTTTCTACAAATCTGGCAGACTCTCTCTATCTCTCCTTTCTCACTATGCGACTATACACCCTCTCTCTATCTCTCCTCTTTCTCTCTTCACACTTCGTTATATACCATGGAATATATATATATATATATATATATATATATATATATATATATATATATCTCGCTCTTTATTTGCCTTTTTTGCTCTGCAATTTGTTCTCACCGAAACCCTAATTTTCTCTTTATTAGGAAGTGGTGCAGGGCATCGAGGATGATTCTTTGGCGGACTTGATCATCTGGAATGATGAATTGGAAGATGTTAGGTTCACTAACATGATTGAGCACCAGCGATTCTTGAATGCCCCGTAATTGCCCAAACTCCCTCTAAATCCTAGAAGCTCTAAACCTGCATTTATTTGACCAGATTTTCCTAAATACACTCCGTAATAATGATGGGTCCGCTTTTTTCTGCTTCTGTAAGACTGATATTTTGAATCAAAGGAATCAACCGTCTTGCCATGGGATGGAAAAAAAAACAAAAAAAAAAAAAAAAAAAAAAAAAAAAAAGAAAAAAGGAGGGTTCGAAGAATGGAATAGATGAAAAACCAAAGATAGAAAAGAATAAAAGAGGTTCGCTGGCATTTGGTCGCTAGATTATACAGTCTGCACTGTTGCTAGCTGCTTTCTTTCTTTATTGGTTTTTTTTTTTTGTTCGGCTCTACCCACTGATTCACTTGCAGATATATATATATATATATATATATATATATATATATATATATACATATATATGTTATATATGTATATAATATTATATATTATATACATATATAATGTTATATATTATATATGTATATAATATATAAACATATACTTCATATATCAATTTAAATATATACATATATATATATATATGTATATAATATATAAACATATACTTCATATATCAATTTGAATATATACACACACACACACACACACACACACATATATATATATTATAAACACTCCTATAACATCACCCACCAACTATCCCATACCATTTTTAGTCAATGGCTCATCAATTGGAATAATTTAGTTTTATTATATGATAAGAATATGTTTTAATATAACTGATATATTGCAAGCAATGGTATTCTGAAGAAATTAATTTATAAATCATTTCATTCCAGCTTTTTATTTGATCTAACCAAACACAACAATTAGAATGGTTATTCCATTCTCTGTTTGCATCCAAACAGTGGAATGAGAATGATCATTCCATTCTTACATCATTCCCATTCCATTCTCACTTACATTTCATTCCTGCCTCATTCCATTCCTGCGCACCAAACATGCCCTAAGTTTCATACCTCTTTAGTCAAATATTTCCCTCTGGAAATGCAGACTCTCAATGTTAGGGCACAAATTTACATTCAACTTGAGGAGAATGTAGCCCACTGAACTCAACATACCACCCTCGTCACGGTAGAAAATAAGCCTTGAGAGAAAGTTTCGAGTTCAAAAAGTCAAATAAGCCAATATGCCCTAGCACCAATCGCCCAAATACCTGATAAAAGGCAGAGGATTAAGGACAGGTTAACACCCCTCTGTACCACATTGGCTCGATTATTCTAGGAGAACAAAGTAAGATTCACCGCCCCTCAACTAATGCGATAACCCCTAGAACAGAAGGACAAAAGCAAACACTGTGCCTACCATAGGGATTATGGGCATACAACCAATGATTGCAGGTCCATTAGGTGACAAGTGGAAAGCATAATAGCCAGAGGAGACTTAGCAGATTATCTCGCACCAAAGGAGCAGGCAAGGTCGAGGGAAGTTAATCCTCGGAAAGTAGAAGGAAATCAAGTGAAGGTCATTCATACAATACATGGAAAGTCGGAGGAAGACCAAGAGTCAGAAGAGGTGTACCGCTCTAGATTAAGGGCTGTCCACAAGATAAGAAAATTATCCTCAGTAAACATCATCGTTTCGGGCAGTATCAGAATCGAGTTTGGAAATGGAGATTTATCAAGAGTACAGCTTCCTCATGAAGATCCACTTGTCATTAGTCTTCTGGTAGTAAACTGCATGATTAAAAAAGTCTTGGTGAACCCCAGCAGCAGTGCCAATATTATAACAAAGGCAGTCATTGAACAATTGGAGATCCCATCTTCGTCAATTCAAGCCACCTCTAGTCCTTTAATGGGGTTTGATGGAACAAAGGTGAATCCTATTGGGATAATCGATTTATCAGTCACTGCAGTGAAGAGGACATTGAAAGAAAACTTTGTTCTGATAGAAATTCATCCTTCTTACAATCTCATTATGGGAAAAAGTTGGATTCACTGAATGAATAGAGTACAGTCTACTCTTCACCAGGTGATGCGATGCTTATCGCTAGATGGAAAAGAAGTCATTAGCCTCTGGGGAGATCAAGTTGCTGAAAAAGAGTGCTACATGTTAACATTAAATGAGGTAGAGAAGGGGATTAAGATGTCCAACCAGATGCGACCCCTGAAGATATTAATAAATAGCAATTACAGAGCCCTTTGTTCAAGTATTTGGAAGCAGGGGCAGAAGCTGAAACTACAAAGCCCACTGAGGAATCTCTTGAAGCTGTCAAAGTTATCCTCATCAATCCATAAAAAGTCACTTATATGGCCGAAGAGAAGTGGGTGTTAGTTGATGTCATCCGAAGGAATGCAGATACGTTTGCTTGTATCCATTCGGATATGCTGAGAATCAATCATTCGATCTCATGCCATAATCTAAGGATGGATCCTTTATTTAGACCAGTTAAACAAAGACACAGAAGATTTGCTCCTGAAAGAAACCAAATCATAGCTGAAAAAGTAGATAAGTTACTTAGATTTCACTAACGTCAATAAGGCTTATCCCAAAGATAGTTTTCCACTACCAAAGATAGATCAGATGGTTGATGCTACTATAGGTTATGAGAGGCTCACATTCCTCAATGCATACTCCGGGTACAACCAGATTCCTATGAATCTAGAGGATGAAGAAAAAACATCTTTCATTACAAAAAAATGAACTTACTGTTATAAAGTTATGGCCTTCAGACTTAAGAACGCAGGGGCCACTTATCAGCGTTTCATTAACAGGATCTTTGATGAAATGCTAGGAAAGACAGTCGAAGCTTATATCGATGATATGGTGGTCAAAAGTGTGAAGAAGGAGGATCATCATAAACATCTTTAAGAAGTATTTAGTACTCTGAGAAAGTACAATATGAGATTGAATCCTTCTAAATGTTCATTTGCAGCCTCTTCAAGACAATTCCTCGGCCACATTGTCAACAAGAGAGGAATAAAAGTAAGTCCGGCTCAGGCTTAGGCCTTCATACAGAACCAGGAGCCAAAAACTCGCAGGGAAATATAGGTTCTAACTGGTCGAATCGCAGCTCTCAGCCGTTTTATATCCCAACTGTCCGATAAGTGTAAACCATTCTTTAATGCTATAAGGTTAAAGAACAAAGATATATGGGGACCTCAGCAGCAAGAAGTTCTTACTCAATTAAAGTACTACATGACTAAACCCCCAATTTTGTCTGCTCCGAAGCCTGGTGAAACCCTCATCATGTATTTAGCAATTTCCAGCATAGCCACAAGTACCATACTGATCCAAGAGGAAGGAAAAAATCAACACCCGGTCTTTTACACAAGTAAGACAATGACAGATGCTGAAATAAGATATAGTAAAGTAGAGAAGACCATACTAGCCTTGGTATATGCAAAAAAGAAGCTCATACATTATTTCGAGTCTCACCGCATTATGGTCCTCACTAATTACCCTATGCAAGCCATCATTTCCAAGCCAAACTTGTCTGAAAGAATCACCAAATGGGCAATTGAACTCAGTTCTTTTGATATAGCTTATGAGCCGAAGGTGTCGCACAAGGGATAGGCGATGGCTGATTTCCTCCTAGAATATGAAGATAAGCCCCAAGAGCCAGAGTTTCCCAAACCACAATGGGAGCTTTGGGTAGATGGTTCCTCGAACCTAACCAGTGCAGGAGTTGGAATCATCATCACAACACCAGAAGGAACCAAGTTACAGCAATCAGTCTACTTGAATTTTCCTACCACCAACAATGAAGCCGAATATGAGGCCTTGCTAACTGGACTTCGATTAGCAAGCCAGCTTCAGGTAAAATGCCTAAAAGTTTTTAATGACTCACAACTCATTGTGAATCAAGTAATAGAAAAGTATCAACTTAAAAAAGAAAGAATGAAAGCATATAATGAGGTTGTAGAAAGTGCTACGCGTGGATTCGATCAAATTGAATTTCACCAAGTGCCAAGAGAAGAGAATTCTGAAGCAGACAAATTACCCATAACGGCTTCTTCTTCGGATGAGGATCTAATCCGGATAGTGCCTATTGACACCTTGGAAGAACTCAACCTGAGTCCACATCTGCAAATAATGGTGATCCCCGAAGTTCCACAAGAACCATATTAGATGGAGCCGTTGGTTAATTATCTCAAAAATGGAACTCTCCCGAATAAAAAAGATGAGGCTAGGAAATTAAGGTTTGTAACAACCAAATATTCCATTATTAATAACCAGTTGTACAGAAAGTCATTCTCAGGTCCTTACTTGAAGTGCTTAAGCCCCACTAAAGCCCTCAAGGTGTTGAAGCAAGTTCATAATGGAGATTGCGATAACCATTCCGGTGGGAGATCCCTCGCCCACAAGATCTTAACTCAAGGTTACTTCTGGCCATACCTGGCTCAGAATTCTGAAGAATATGCCAGAAGATGCGACAAATGCCAACGATATGGCCCAATGAAGCACCAGCCAGCTAAAAATCTGCACAATGGGAATTGATATGGTTAGTCCTTTACCCAAAGCTGTGGAGCAAAAGGAATACGTGTTACTAGCTACGGATTACTTCATAAAGTGGGTAGAAGTAGAGGCTTATTCGAATATGACTCACGAGCAAGTGAAAAGTTTTTTGTGGAACAATATAATCTGCCGATTCGGAGTGCCAAAGGTCATCATGATGGACAATGGCAAGAATTTGGACAATAGAAGTACGAGGAAGTTCTTTGTTGAACACGGAATGAGGCAGAAGTTGGTTGCGGTTAGTCATCCACAAAGGAATGGACAGGCTGAGATAACTAACCGAACCATCTTCAACTGTCTGAAGAAAAAGTTAGAGCAGCTCAAATCAAAGTGGTAGGAGAATCTGCCTAAGGTACTCTAGGCATATCGAACCACTCCACGAAGGCCAACAAGGGAGAGTCCCTTTGCAATGGGTTATGGGTCTGAAGCTGTCATCCCTACAGAGTCAGCAATCCCAACTCTTCGACCACACTTATTACTTGAAAGAAATAATGATCAGCAGCTCGAACATAGCCTTGACCTCTTAGAAGAAAAGAGGGATGTTGTAGCAGTTAGGCTTACTTCATATCAACAGCAGTTGCGAAACAGTTACAATAAGCGGGTCAAGTTTAGAAGCTTTATAGTGGGAGATTGGGTGTTGAAGCAGGAGACGGCACACATAAAGAAATTACAACCCAATTGGACCGAACCTTACAGAGTTATAGAAGTAGTGGGGAAAGGAGCTTACCGGCTAGCTGAAGCCAATGGGCGAGTAATTGCACACCCATGGAATACTATACACCTTAAAAGGTACTACCATTAGGAAATTTCGTCCATTTTTCTATATTTCTTTATGCAAATAAGGCTGCATATGGCCCATATAATAAAATTTCTTATTATTTACATCCTCTTTTGTAAATATGTGATGTAATATGAAAGGATAAAGAACGTTGGATACACAAACGATCAACCGTTCGTGAATTCAACTGTCTTTATTGTAATGTACGAACAATCAACCACCACAAATATATTGATATTTGTGGCTACTTTTTCTTGAATGTGAGATACTGTTTCACTTAAATTTGTTACTATTTTCTTTTCATAATAGGGGGCAAGACTAGTACCCCTAATATAGATATTACGAAAAGAAAATCAAAGGTATTTTCAATAAGTTTTTAACTATTTTCAATAAGTTTTTAACAAAACAAAAAAATTTTATAGAACCTTTTACAAAAAAAAATCCTTGTTTTTGTCCCACATCAATAAAAAGTAACATGAACAGTCCTTTTAAATAGAAAAACACTTAAGCATATAAGCATATTGCAAAGACGGCCCATTGGAAACTAGAGCGGCCCAAGAGCCATTCTTAAGCTCTATGTCCAGAGGGCACTCTTTGTAATTATTCACCCTATTTTTTACATACAAAAAGCCCAATATATTTGGCCCAAAACTTATCCCTGCCTTGCTCCCACATCGAATAAAAATAAGAAAAAAGAATGGTTAATATAACCAACTCTCACTACAGGTAAATGCTAAGGAGAGAGTGTTCGTGAAATAAGGGCCCCAACCAAATGTTTGGGAATCTAACCAGGTCACTGTCACTCTTTTCCTTAGCCTTCTCTCACTTTTAAATCCTCGGATCCAAGAGTCCGAAGGTATCAATAAATTCCTCTAAGGCGCATACGATAGCCGAGGAATTACATGTTTCGGACCCCAAGAGTTTGAAGGTATCAATAAATTCCTCTAAGGCACACAACTAAGGAATTACATGCTTTGAACCCCAAGAGTCCGAATGTATCAATAAATTCCTCTAAGGTGCATACGATAGCCGAGGAATTACATGCTTCGAACCCTAAGAGTCTGAAGGTATTAATAAATTTCTCTAAGGCACACAGCTGAGGAATTACATGCTTTGGACCCCAAGAGTCTGAAGATATCTATAAATTCCTCTAAGGTATATACGATAGCCGAGGACTTACATACTTCGGACCCTAAAAGTCTAAATGTATCAATAAATTCCTTTAAGGCACACAGCTGAGGAATTACATGTTTCGGACCCTAAGAGTCCGAAGGTATCAATAAATTTCTCTAAGGCACACAGCCAAGGAAATATATGCTTCAAACCCCAAGAGTCCGAAGGTATCAATAAATTTCTCTAAGGCACGTAGCCGAGGAAATATATACTTTGGACCCCAAGAGTCCGAAGGTATCAATAAACTCCTTTAAGGCACATAGCCGAGGAATTACATGCTTCGGATCTCAAGAGTCCGAAGGTGCCAGTAAAGGTATCAATAAATAACTGAGGAATTACCGGCTTCAGACCTAAAGAATCCTAGGAATTCGAAGGCATCAATATGTTTATTTAAAACACTTATTACAGATGAGGACAATATTAAACTGAGTCTGGTCCTAGATGGGGGTATCTTCCTCTCAGGTCCATGAAGTTAGTCCAACTTGGCTAAATCCCTTAAACAAGTTGTCCCACATCGAAAAAATATAAGAAC